CTGTCGGCATTTCTGTGTACATTTTGCACTCTCCTGCAAGACCTTTATCACACCAATGCCTGTTTGCTATTCTGATACAAATCCTCAGTGATCTGACCTGTCTGCTGCGAGAGAGAGAGAGAGAGAGAGAGAGAGAGAGAGAGAGAGAGAGAGAGAGAGACAGCTTCCCTCTTGCAAGACCTTTATCACACCAATGCCTGTTTGCTATTCTGATACAAATCCTCAGTGATCTGACCTGTCTGCTGCGAGAGAGAGAGAGAGAGAGAGAGAGAGAGAGAGAGAGACAGCTTCCCTCTGCTCTGTGTTTGCAGATGAGACACCAGTCGACAAACAGGTCAAGTGCAGACTGGAAGAGCTCATTCAACTCTCTGGCCTGACAGCACACACATTCACTACCCACAATCCACCTGCAGGGCTTTTCATTCACAACAGACAGACATTAAATGCAAACAGCGGGAATGAAAAATTATTTGCTAAAATTGATAAAAATTATTTAGGATGCTATAGTGGGCATTAATGATTGTTCAAATGAAGCAATTAAAAGAATGACAAGAAGCCTTTATAAAACCGCTGCAATAGCAAAATGATAAATAACAATTTTTAATAAGTAATAAATAAATGTTTAATAAATTAAATTAATATTTAATTAAATATGAAGTAGTAGATTAAATATTATAAAGTATATACTGTATATTCAGTCTCTCTCATAGTATTTCAATAAATAATTATTCATACTATAATAATAATAATAATGATTTTTTTATTAATGTATGCAGTTTCTTCCCTCATGTTGATTTGCTAATTTGATTCCAGGTGTGTCTCCTTAGTCCCTCGTTATCCTGTATTTAAAAGCCCCAGTCCATTCAGTTAGTGTTTGTCGGGTCTACTTGTTGAATGTCTTCCTTGTTCTCGGTTTTCCTGTGGATTATTAAAGACTGTGTTATTCAAGTACTCCTCGTTTCCTCATTCCTTGCTCCCCGAGTGAATTGTGACAGAAGACCCGACCCATACAGTTACCTCTCTTTTTACTCAGTTTTTTGTTTCTGTTGTGTGCCCTATGGATCCCCTCCTTCACCCAAATTCATCCTCCTTATTAATGTATGCTGTGTGTATGCTGTATAATTTATATTAACAAATAATAATTATATAATAAATAATTAACTAAATAATTCAATGTATATGTCAGGATTATGGACTATTCTGTGTATGTTTTGCTCCCTGTGACCCAGTTTCTTCCCTCATGTTGATTTGCTAATTTGATTCCAGGTGTGTCTCCTTAGTCCCTCGTTATCCTGTATTTAAAAGCCCCAGTCCATTCAGTTAGTGTTTGTCGGGCCTACTTGTTGAATGTCTTCCTTGTTCTCGGTTTTCCTGTGGATTATTAAAGACTGTGTTATTCAAGTACTCCTCGTTTCCTCATTCCTTGCTCCCCGAGTGAATTGTGACAGAAGACCCGACCCATACAGTTACCTCTCTTTTTACTCAGTTTTTTGTTTCTGTTGTGTGCCCTATGGATCCCCTCCTTCACCCAAATTCATCCTCCTGCTGCTGGAGCAGGGGGAGAATTCGCTCGAGGGTCATCCCAGACTGTTTCTGGCTGTGGCCCATCTCACCACCTATCCGGACGACACAGCCCCTCTGCTCGCCCTCAGCCCACCATCATTGCGGTGCAAGCCCCGCAGGACTGCTATCCTCCAGGGTCGCCGTGGCTGGAGTCTCCCTTGACTCCACCTCCAGCCTCCGGGGCCTGGACTCCGCCTCGGCCCGTTGACCCGTCGGCTCCACCATGGCTCCTAGCTCCCTCCTCTCCATCGTGGCCCAGCAGTCCACAAGCTCCGCCAGGCTCCCTCGTCCCTCCAGCTCCGCCTTGGTCTGGCATCGACCATCCTGCGCCTCGGGACTCCACTCCTCTGGCTTCGCCTCGTCCCTCCGGCTCCTTCACCTCAGTCCTCTGTCGCTCCGGCTCCACTGCAGCCTCCCGGATCCACATCTCCGCGTCGGTCGCCGGCGCCATCTGCTCCGCCTAGGACCTCCGGATCCTCCCCATCGCCCTGGCTCATCGACTCTCTGCCTCGGGCTCCTCCACCACCTGCTCCGCCGCCGTTGGTCGGCCCCCTGAAGTCGGCGGCCATTTCTCCTCCATGGCTCCTCCCTCCATTGGCTCCAACATGGGTCGACATCATGGCTGTGACCTGGGTCCTGCTGTGGCCCCTCCTGTCTCCTCCCTGGCTCCTCCCTCCTTCGTCGCCCCCCCTGGTCTCTGTCTGCCTGCCTCCTCCGGAACCTCCTCCCAAGTTCCCACCCACGCCTCCCTCTGTTGTTGCTACGGTGAGAGGACGCGTTCCGGGAGGGGGCGTTATGTCAGGATTATGGACTATTCTGTGTGGGTTTTGCTCCCTCATGTTGATTTGCTAATTTGATTCCAGGTGTGTCTCCTTAGTCCCTCGTTATCATGTGTTTAAAAGCCCCAGTCCATTCAGTTAGTGTTTGTCGGGTCTACTTGTTGAATGTCCTCCTTGTTCTCGGTTTTCCTGTGGTTTATTAAAGACTGTGTTATTACTCCTCGTTTCCTCGTTCCTTGCTCCCCGAGTGAATTGTGACAGTATACATATATTTATAAAAAAATATTATATAGATATAATAAACAAATGTGTATTTCAATAAATAATTCAACACACACAAAATGAATATTTATTTATACAAATATATATAAATATTAATTCAACATATATTAATAAATGAATAAAAATGATATAAAATATATATTGAAAAATTATTTTATAATCTATATTAATGAAATGTTACTTATTATTATATTGTCATATATTAATAAAACTATATATAATGTTCCTTCCCTATAAAATAGTTTTTAATAAATTATTAATTAATCAATTAATTTGGAAGAAAATATCAGTAGTGCTTGTATGTGCAAAACTAGCCACAGCAATGCTGAGGTGTTGCTAATGTGGTTGCTAAGTTGTTCTGGGTGGTTGCTAGGTGGTTTCTTACAGACTTGGTGATCTGCATCAGTGTGAATGTAACTAATGAAATGATTGTTCAAGAATGCTGATGGCCTCTGTGTCAGCTTATCTTGACTGATGTTGGATCAGTCTGTAAATAATTGGTCATGTTTTGGCGGTTGGCTTGACTGATCTGCTGATGGTTCAGCTTTATCTGCTTGAGTCTTTGTGGCTGGTATTGTCTTCTTTGCTATTTTCCCTTTCAAAGAGGTTCTCTCTTTGAAAGGGAAACACACACAGACAAAAAATATTAAAATATCTAAAATATTAGTTCTTCTATAGATGAATGTGTAAATGATGTATGAGCCAATCTGACAACATGCAGGCGACTGATTGGATCATTATTTTAACAAACAGCTCTAACAAGGTTAAAGAAACCATGCTGGTGTACTAAAAGGCTGATTTGTCAAAGTCTTCACTGAAAGTGCATATGTGAGTGTGTCTACTTTTGCAGATTTACAGTGTTAATATACATTGATGTGTATCCATTTGTGTTTGTCTTAAGTGAAAAAGTGTGTCAGAATCATTCTGAACAGATTTACATGAATTCACAATATCCACCTCTGTCTGGATCACACAGCTCAGATGGTCTATGCAGAAGTTGATGAGAATTTTGAGGCATGAGGAAACTCATGTGAAATGACTCATATTTTTTATGAAATTACTCTTTTAAAGGTATACAAACAGTTCTAGATCCATCATTGTCAGTTTTCCCTCACCGTATGAACCATAGTGTGAATTTTCTTCTTAACCACCCATGCTTTCTTAACCCACACACACACAGATAGACTCATCCTTCTTAACTCTGCAGATCATTCTGACCTGCTTCTTGTTAAATCTCTCCTTTTCTTTCATTCTCCTTTCTGTATTCTCTCTGAAAGGAAGCATGCAGTGTTTATTAAACTGATGCTCGTTTGAGTTGCTTGTAAACACAACATCAGTGCAGCTTGAGACAGAGATTGATAACTGGTAGATCTGGGGGGCAGAACTAGAAAGCTTGCTGCTTTTTTTCAGCTGAACTGTTAACCGTGGACCATGAGAAGCTGTCATGGGTTGCACAGTTGTTTAGATGGATGACGTTCACTTTTAGGACAGTTACACTCTAAAAAAAATGCTGGGTTAAATATAACCCAGTGCTGGGTAAAATATGGACAAACCCAGCAAATTGGGTTGTTTTGACCCAGCGGTTCATAATTTTAAAAATAAATGCTTAGTATTGAAAAATGTTAAAAATGCTAAAATATTGAAATGCATTGGTGTAATCCTTTTTGTGATTAAAAAAGTTATATGTATATTTATTTACTTTTTTAAAAATCAGTGCCATTGTACTAAAGTGTATGGAAACACTTAAAAATCAGACACAATGTGGGGTAAATCTGGACAGCGAATCCTAGATTTGTCCTTGGATCAGAATTCGCTGAAAAACTCACAATCCCTGGCACTCACACAGACAGAAATGACAAATGTTGTTTCATAATGATTATGGATGATGTGTATTATTCCACCTCTCTCATTCGCCAAACAAGCCAAAGCGATTGCTACATGGAAAATACTTCCCTCTCCTTCTCTCACCTTTAAAGAGGTGAGTGTATTTATAGAGCTCATCTCATCCTGTCTGTGTGGCTCTGTCTGTCATCAGACTGGCACGTTCTGGTGTTCTGGTTAGGTACCCTTCAGACTGTTTCCTGATGTTCTCTAGACAGCTTCCTAAATGTCCCTGATGAACATATAATTCAGAATTCCTTGGCTGCTGATTTTATCTAGACCAAATCCATCCAATCTGCTAGAATTGATTTTCTAATGAAGAACAGGACCCAGAGGGGAAATTAATTGCTTGGAGGTTTCTTTTTCATTTTTGGTGGTTTCAGATGTTTCTGCAAAATTCATTATAAAAATAGGCACACAAGAAATCCAATTTGTGATTTCACACTGTGTGATGTGTTCACTTCCACTAATGTTGCCTGATCTCTGCTTCTACAGGAAGAGGAAATGCCAGAGGTGGAGATAGACATTGATAATCTCCTGGAGGTGAACAGTGAAGACGAGAGAGCCATAAAACTACAGGTAAAGTCCTGTGTGAGCGTGTGTTTGTAAGACAATGCCTCTATTTATTAGTTCACCCAAAAATGAAAATATGCTGAAAAAATGTCATCACACTCAGGTCGACGAGTTTGTTTCTTCATGGGAACAGAGTTGGAGAAATGTAGCATTACATCACTTGCTCACCAATGGATCCTCTGCAGTGAATGGGTGCCGTCAGAATGAGAGTCCAAACAGCTGATAAAAACATCACAATAATCCACAAGTAATCCACACCACTCCAGTCCATCAGTTAAATCTTGTGAAGCTGTGTGCTTGTAATAAACATATCCATCATTAAGCCGTTCAAATGTTAAACCATTTCTTCTGTCCAAAATACGAGTCCATAATCCATAATAGCACTTCCCTCAATGTAAAAGTGCATCCCCTGTTGTCCTCTCACATCAAAATTCACTGTCATATTTGCTTAGAAAATATTTTGGACTGTTTTCACTTATAAACGGTACTTGATCTGTGCATATTTCTCTCCTGATTCAGATGAGATTACTTTTTCACTGGAGAAAGCAATATTACGGATAGATGACTTGTATTTTAGCCAAAAGCAATGGTTTGAAGTTAACAAGATTTAATTTATGGACTGGAGTCATCTGGATTACTTGTGGATTACTGTGATGTTTTTATCAGCTGTTTGGACGCTCATTCTGACGGCACCCATTCACTGTAGAGCATCCATTGATGAGCAAGTGATGTAATGCTACATTTCTCCAAATCTATTTTGCTGAAGAAACACACTCATTTATACCTGGGATGGCCTGAGGGCAAGTACATTTACAGCAAATTTTCATTGGGTGAACTATTTCTTTAAAGACTGAAAGTATTTAATTTAGTTGAAGTTGGAATGAAGAGAATCTTGCTGAGTAATTAGTTAAAGTTAAAGTCGGCAAGTTTATAACTATCTAGCTGAATAATAACATCTAGTTTAATATCACAGATATTTAAAAGAAACTTTAGTGCCACATAAAGCATGAAAACAAGGACTGCGCAATTGCAATTCCCTAGCTGAGAATTCACACTGTGTATGTATTAGTATATTTTAAGTGTGTAAATACTGAAGCTTCACAAGTTTTTGGTGTGTGTATCAGTTGGTTGATATCTCTCTGTTTTTGTCCCTCAGGAATCACTGTCAGACTGCTACAAGCCCACTGACGTAAGTCATAACTTAAAATATAGGCCACTGACACACAGCTCTGTTCCAAAACTAGTGAACTGCATACATAGACAATATTTTAAGAATATTTTTAAGACATCATGAATGCACTCACAAAGCAAAAAACTTTATAGCCACATTTCGCTGCCTTATATTTTCTTATATGTATCTGCGACAAAACAGAAGTCAAATATATAAATAAATACATATAATTAGGCAAATTTTGGTTGCTGTTCACAAGCAGTGTGTGTGGCTCGCATGACTCACCGCATGAGTGCTTCATATCAGTAACTTATGAGGTTGCATTTTGATGACTACAAATGCACATACACACACGCAGTGCTTCAGGACATGCTAGTGGATTTCATATAAGTGCACTGACCTGAAAACGTGTGTTCAAAGAATTCATACAACACTATGAAAATCATAATGCATAAGAGCTACAGCAGACACAATAACCCACTGACCCACACACACATATAGATGCCTTGGCTCCAATTTAAACACACTTTTACTTGATTATATAAATTTGGAAGTACTTCTTTTGTTTTTATTTTTAATTTAATTTTACATTTATAATATTTTTTATTTAATACCATTATATTATTTTTTTTTACAAAATTCTTCTACTATTTAATTTTATTATATGGTTCAAAAGTTTGGGGGCTGTAAGAATTTTTGAAAGAAGCCTCTTATGTTCACTGAGGCTGTATTTATTTGATCAAAAACACAGTAAAAATGGAAATAATTTTAAATATTATTAAAATTTAAAATACCTGTTTTATATTTGGATATATTTTAAAATGTAATTGATTCCTGTGAATCAAAGCTGAATTTTCAGCATCATTACTCCAGTCTTCAGTGTCACAGGAATCATTCTAATATGCTGATATGCATTTCTAATAATCAATGTTGAAAACAATGTATCAGTATTTAATTATATAATATGAATAAATATAATATAAATGTCTTTACTGTCACTTTTGATCAATTTAATACAATTTTAATAATACAATTATCTAAAAATAAAATAAACATTCATTTATTTTTTTAAAAATGATAATGATTTTTTTAAATAAAAAAAACAAGTGTCATTTTCATCTTTAGACATCTAAGTGCACGCATACAAACACACTCAGTGTATCCATCATTATCTTGTGTTAAATGAAAAACAAACACACACACACACACACACACACACATTTACAACCCTCTCTAATCTAATCACAGACCCTTAAACACTAACATGTGCTCTTGTTTGAGTATGAGTGCTCGCCACTGTCAAAACCACCCACATAGTCTGTAAATCAATGTCCTTACAGCATTGTTGCTGACCTACAGCCACAGGCTTTACACTCACACAGACAGTGAATGAGCAGAAGAGAATGGAAGAATTTTACGACATACAATCTGCCTCACTCTCTTTCTGCCTTTCTCTCTTCACCAGGACTTTGTGCGCGAGCTCCTCGGCAGGATAAGAGGAATGAGAAAACTCAGTGCTCCGCAGAAGAAAAGCTTTTAAGTGCTCGAAAATGCCAACGACAATCCAGCTACCTGTACTACAGGTCCCACAATCCATCACTCAACGTAGAGTCGACCTCATACAGCCCTCAAGGATTCGCTATCCCAGGATTCATTTCTGGCCCAGAATCAATATGCTAGAGTTCATTTTCCAAGGACCTTGACTTTGTTCAGTACACCTAAATTGAGTCATCCATTTCCCATAGATCAGACAATAAATCCAAGAGTGCAAAGTTAATCCGGGACACAATCAAACAATCTCAGCAGCCGCTCGGGACAGTCTAATGTTCCTGTCATCAACCTCTCAAAGGGTCTTACAGGCCCAACACATTATTACACATTTTGGTGCAGTATTACAGCTATTTTTATGAACCACAACCGACTACAAAGCTATTTTATGTAGCCTATTAAATATATTTTTTATTATGAATTAATTTATTTTTATTTTAAGTAAAGTTGCTGAAGTAACATACATTTTTGGTATTTGTTCTTAAAGGAACACTCCACTATTTTTGAAAATAGGCTTATTTTCAAACTCCCCTAGAGTTAAACAGTTGAGTTTTACCGTTTTCGAATCCATTCAGCCGATCTCCGGGTCTGACGGTAGCACTTTTAGCTGTAGCTTAGCATAGATCATTGAATCTGATTAGACCGTTAGCATCTCGCTCAAAAATAACCAAAGAGTTTCTAAATTTTTCCTATTTAAAACTTGACTCTTCTGTAGTTACATCGTGTACTAAGACCGACGGAAAATGAAAACTTGCGATTTTCTAGGACGATATGGCTAGGAAAAATTTAGAAACTCTTTGGTTATTTTTGAGCGAGATGCTAACGGTCTAGTCAGATTCAATGATCTATGCTAAGCTACAGCTAAAAGTGCTACCGTCAGACCCGGAGATCGGCTGAATGGATTCGAAAACGGTAAAACTCAACTGTTTAACTCAAAGGGAGTTGGAAATTTAGCCTATTTTCAAAAATAGTGGAGTGTTTCTTTAAGCAGCCGACTGGTTTTAGTAGCTGTTGGCTTTTTCTGCTGATCTAAGAAGTTTTTTTTCCTCCGAATAACTGTCTTTAGTCTTTTTCCAATCATCTGATTCCGGATCAACAGTGATATTCACCAATATCTGTCCAGTTAAATTTCATAAATTTGCACGACAGTCATTCTTCCCTAGAATCTGTTCACGAGCAAAGCATAATGGAATATTTAGGTTCATGAACTGTGGGTAATGTTCAGTTTTATGTCATATAATTGGCCAGAATACTACATATCAGTCTGTCCATCATAACAGTTTATGTTAACAGTTTTAACAGTCCACCGTTTTTTTTCATAACAATGATAATCTTTCAAGAACACTGAACTGTTCTTGAAAGGTCTGTGGCTAAAATAACTACTTTCATAAAGTGAATATGATTGTGGTATGATAAAAGTTCAAAGGTTTTGGGTTGGATATGATGACAGAAAGTAAAGAAATAAGGCTATATTCGGAATTAAAGGAATAGTTCACCCAAAATGTACTCACCCTCAGGCCATCCAAGATGTAGATGAGTTTGTTTCTTCATCGGGACAGATTTAGAGAAATGTAGCATTGCATCACTTGCTCACCAATGGATCCTCTGCAGTGAATGGGTGCCGTCAGAATGAGAGTCCAAACAGCTGACAAAAACATCACAGTAATACACAAGTAATCCATACCACTCCATCAGTTAACATGTTGTGAAATTAAAAGCTGTGTGTTTGTAAGAAACAAATACATCAAAATATTTAAACCATTGCTTCTGGCCAAAATACGAGTCCATAATCCATATTAACGCTTCCTGTCAGCTCTTTGGACTCTCATTCTGACGGCACCCATTCACTGCAGAGGATCCACTGGTGAGCAAGTGATGCAATGCTACATTTCTCCAAATCTGTTCTGATGAAGAAACAAACTCCTCTACATCCTGGGTGGTCTAAGTATGAATAAATGACTTTCAACTATTCCTTTAAATACTAGTATACTATTTACTGTGCGGTACACACTAAATACCCTGAAAATTGCATTATGGGAATATATTATTCTAAACTATACACTGCATATTTTAGCAAATGCATTCATGTATTGTTGCATACATACTGTCCTGCTGAATTAGTAGCTGAGCGTAGTACTAGTATTGCGAACATAGCCTGAGTTTTGAATACTTCTATAAGTCAACAAGGGCTGCATGAGAGTATAGATCTTATGATGATGGTTAGTGTTCGTCTAATGATCGAGCTGGATGAGGTATCTAGTTTGACTCAAGCCATTATTGAAAGCACGTAAATCATTCAAATCTAGGCTTTTATCTCCTTTTGTCATATGGTTTTACACGGAGGCTGCCAAAGAATATAAAACGGCTGAATATTAGCATATTATAAAGTGCCATCGGTGTAAATTGGTACATGTATATTATGTTTCTCTATAAAGAACATTTAATCTTCGTGTCATTCAGTGTCATACTCATGGGTCAGATTTGTGTTTGATGGTGTAAGTTGTATAACAAGGAATCCAGGGGGGAACTATGGTGCTGTTTAAACTTTTAACCCTCTACAGCGTGGATGGAAGATGTGTATTGCAGGCCGAAAGAAAAAGGGTAAAAATAGAGATTCGCTCTTGCTCTAACACCTTACTCTGGATGAATCTAATATTTTTATGCTCTCCTGAGTCGCTATTAACCTGCATCTAAATATCATTGTGGATTTTTTCAAGTAGGCCTATGTTTTGACTCTTTTCTCGGAGAAGAACATTCAGGGTTTAGGCTGATCTCTTCTTTTATTTTATTTACTTTGTTTTGTTTCTAAAATGTTAGAGATGTATTTGAGTATACGAAAGCTTTATTTATGCATGTTTTATTATTGGCATGATCGGAACGTTTTGGAACGCTTAAGCGACGATTTGTCTTTTTATACATTATTACAAGTATTACTCTTAGAAATATTAAATTCACAACTTTTTATTCATTTTTATTGACTGTATATCTGCGTTTTGGGTGTTTTTGATTTTTAGATATATGTAAAGTGTGGTCTTTTGTGCTGTCCTACTTCAAATAAAGGCAAAATGCCTGAACTGTTATAATACACGTTCCTCAGTGTCACTTAATTTTATTCACACAAATGGACAATATATTAAACATGTCTTCTCTTACTACAAGCACGCCTATGTAAGGTTTGTGTTATGTAGATGTGCATTGTGAAAAACACACTTTCTGGGGTCTGTTAGTCACAAATTTGCATCTCATTACTGAAGACGTCACATTAATCCTGAAAATGCATAATCCGTTTACTTACTTTGTTAAGACTCATTCGTCTTGTTCTTCTCACGAATCCTCCATAATATGGACAGATCTGTAATTTGTCGATAATTCTTATACATATTCATGCTCTTTTCCAACATATTTTCGTTCTGTTTTCTAGAATGTGTATGACACCAGCTATGCAGTTTCTGAATGAAATTCAGTTCACGTAAAGCATCATGTTCATGTGACACAAACAGTCAAGTAGAACTATGGATTACTGCTCTATTTTACTTTGTTTGCCAACATATTTGGTAGCTTTTAATAATTTCTTTTAAATGTAAAAAAGTTTAAAAACTGAATTATTTTTTTAATTATATCATTTGGTTTTGTTTTAAAGGAATAGTTCACCCAAAATGAAAATATGCTGCAATTATAGAGTCTACATATTTTAGCCGGAACCTATGATTTTAAGTTACAAATGTCTCATTCTGACGGCACCCATTCACTGCAGAGGATCCATTGGTGAGCAAGTGATGTCATGCTAAATTTCTCCAAACCTGGTCCTATGAAGAAACAAATTAATCTACATCTTGGATGGTGATTTTCTGATTTTTCAATTTTGGGGTGAACTATTCCTTTCAAATATACCAAATATGTTGGTAATTGATTATTTGGGGTAGTAATTACGAGCATAAAATCATAGTGATTGTCATTCATTTGTCAATATGTTCAATACAGCCTTAGTTAGAGAGCACAGATACAGAAACACACGAGACTATGAAATTGCTTTATAGCAACGCTTTCCCTTTAAATTTCCTGACCCACTTTCTGCAGGCGCATTCATGAGAGGCATAATTGAGACTGGGAGGTGCATGTGAGGAGAATGTCTAATGACAGGTGTGTGCTCTGGCTCTGCGCCCTCCAGATGTGCAACACAATCTATTCAAATGCCATTTAGCTCAATCAACAATTTAGACTGAAAGGGTATCAGGGTTTCTATGCAAGTAAACGAGCCATTAGGCCTAATTTGATTGTCATCAGTGCTGTTGTCAACCATTATAGCATCATATTAAGATGTGATGTAGGCTGACTGAAGTAGCCCAGTTTAACTCTCTTCAGCTAATGTATTCTCTAAATAAAGCACTGGTCAGCATGCTCATCCTCCCTCTTCGTTTTCCTACAGAAATCTATGTTGCTCTTTTCCTGCAGTGTTGTCCTCTTTGCATGTCTTTTTCTTTCACCCTGCTCTTGTCTCATTCGTTTCTCTAACCCTCTCATATCTATCATGCATTATTAGAGGACAGGAGAAGACAGTACTGTAGCATCTGCCGTATCCGGCAATGCAATCAGTGATTCACCACGCGAGGAAGATTAAAATGCCACATGCAGTGGAATTTAAAATACACATTCCTCTCTGAATTTCCCAGAACCATCACGAAGACAGAATATTCATTCATGCATTTGTACATTTCCGAAAACTGTCCCAAAGAAAGAAAAAAAAACATTCATTCATTGATCAAAACAAGCTGTTACATTAATCATTAAAAATGAATCTATTTATAATGAATGAGCTTCTTTCTTTGGCAGTTTAATGCAGTTTTCAGTTGTTCAGCAAAAATGATTGTGATGATTATAATATATGATATGTTTATATGTATGATTATATGTGACCCTGGACCACAAAACCAGTCATAAGAGTCATCTAATCATCTGAAAGCTGAATAAATAAGCTTTCCATTGATGTATGGTTTGTTAGGAAAGGACAATATTTGGTCGAGATACAACTATTTGAAAATCTGGAATCTGAGGGTGCAAAAAAATCAAAATACTGAGAAAATCACGTTTAAAGTTGTCCAAATGAAGTTCTTAGCAATGCATATTACTAATCAAAAATTAAGTTTTGATATATTTACGGTAGGAAATTTACAAAATATCTTCATGGAACATGATCTTTACTTAATATCCTAATGATTTTGGCATAAAAGAAAAATGGATAATTTTGACCCATACAATGTTTTTTTTGGCTATTGCTACAAATATACCCCAGCGACTTAAGACTGCTTTTGTGCTCCAGGGTCACATATATAATTATATATGTACTGTATATATGTGTGTTTATCACACTTATCCAGCACAGGTATCCATGAGTGCTGTTAT